ACTTGACAGGTGGCCTGCCCACACTGGCCTCTCCTTCCCTGTCCTTTCCTGAGGGCTGTGGACACCTTAATCCCCTACAAGACAGTCCCAATTGAACCCCCACTTTGCTCCCCCCACCCCCACTTCGCTTGTTGATGTGCCTCCCATCCACTCTCCCCACGGCAGCCAAGTGGCTCTTTCTACAGTTACCACCTGACCTTCACCATCTCGTTTATCACCTTCGTGGCTCTCCAGCCTCCAGGGATAGAGTTGGAGTTCTCAACCAGGCAGCTGGTGTCTACCCTCTGCTCCCATACTGCATTCCAGCCCAACAGAACTTCAAGTGCACAAACCCTTCCTCCTTCCTTAACGTTTGTATCTGATGTCCCCCTTTCCTTGGAAGACCCTCTCTTCCCCTGGTTCTCTTTTTCCATAAAATGTCCTCTCCTTCAAGGCAGGACCTACATAGGTTTTGGCACCCAGTGCAAAATGAAATGTGGGGTTCCTTGTTCAAAAATTATTTAAAAATTCAAGACAATGACTGCAAGGCAGGCATTAAATAAACTAAGCATATGGTCCTTCTAAGTCTTGGGGCCCTGGGTGATTACTTTCTCTGCCATCAGGAAATATTTTTGGACTCTCCCCACCTCCTATCCCAGGCTCAGCTAGGCATCTTCCTCTGGGAGCCCCACAGTGCCTTGAGTTTCTGCAAAAATATGCCCTAGTCCTTCTTGCCTGTGCTTTCCCCATCACAGCGCCAACCGCTCTGGGAAGCCACAGTTTGGTGAATGTCTATTTTCTCCACTAGATGGAGCTCTCGATCTTGGTTACCACTCAGTTCCCGCCATCGCCACACACAGGTCAGGGCAAAGGGAGGATCTATGCTTAATCTTTTCTCACAGGAACCCCAGTGCTTGCATTTGTGCGTCAGTATGAGAGGACACAGAGACTCGGGAGGAACCGAAGCCAGGAACCACACCCAAGTTCAACACAGAAGAAGAGAAACATCCTTTTTGGGAGGACTCCTTTATCTGATTTCCTCACATCTGTGCCCATGTGAAGAACTGCAAATACTTGGTCACTAGCTGAAGGGCTCATAGGCATCCTCAGATACTCAGAGTTTTTGTCAGGTTTAGCCACACCAGAAAACATGAAGACAGGAGAAAGAAGTGCTTCCTGATTTCAAGATACCGGCACTTCAAGAAAAGACTCCAGGATCCTGGAGCTCCGGCACAAGGAACCTAAGTCACAAAGATGTGCAGGACATTCTTCAAAGCTGGATGGGGGCTAGAGTGGGCAATGGATAGGGGAGCATGCCCCGAGTTCAGGAAATCCATGGGATCAGTGGGTCAGTGCCAGGCAAGCTAAATTTTAGCTTTCTATTCTGGATACATGCAATCAATTGCTCAGAGTTCTGGTATTTCTGGATGGGGTTGGGTATGGTCCAGACATCCTCAGAAGGAAATGTTGGGGGCCATGCTAGAGGGTCCAGCCTGCCCCATGTACCTCTTCCCACCCTCCCTGCTTCCAAACTGCTCTGTGTCTCCCTTCTAGCCCCGATTTCTTAATAATCCCCACTCTCCCTGACCAGCAGCCATAGCCTCTGGGCTCGGAGACTACGCTTCTCTCCACGTTGTCTAGCACTTGGACCTCCAGTTGGCCCTTAAGTCCCATGCTAAGGACATAGATCTTTGGGTATCAGATACCAAGCCTCACAACTCTTCTCTTGCCTGAGAACAAGGTAGTTGGACTGTGGTCCTCACTGGCTTTCCATGCAGGGAATGGTAGCTTCCAATCGCTCTTGGATCCATCCAGTTCAGGCACTAACCTGATTCAGGTCACCCTCCTGCCTGGACCATGACAGCAGCATCCTCACTAGTAGACCTGTTTCTCCCTTGTGCCCACAGTCTGTTCCCCATCTACAAACAGACCCACTGGAGCTTCCTGGAGATCTGAGCTGCTCAAAACTCAGTGATGGCTTCTCAGGACACCTAGATGAAAATTCAGACTCATCTAGTGGCCCACAGCAACCGGCATCATCTGGCCCCTTCTCAGTTTCCAGTTTGGAGCTTACATCACCTCCTTACCTTCCCCACTGGCCTCCTTCAGGCCCTTCTACTTACCGATCATCCTTTAGTCCTAGAACTTCTGCACATGCTGTTCCTCTTGTATGGAACGCCCTTTCCAGACCCTAAAGTTAACTTCTGTACATCATCCAGGGATCAGCTGAGGAGTTACATCCTCCAGGAAGCCTGACTCAGTTTCTGTTTCTGGGTCAGGTCTCCCTGGCATAGGGTCTCACAACTCCACGTGCCTCGCCTGCAAACCTCCCTGGTCGCATTTGCCTGGGTATCATTTAACGTCTGTATCGCCCACACAGGGTCGGAGGTTTGAAACCACCGGTCATTCCGTGGGAGGAAGAGTTACAGCCTCAGAAGCCCTATGCAGGGTCTTTAGGAGTCAGAATCGACTCAATAGCACACAACAACAACATCCATACCAAATGGTGAATTTCTTCAGCACGGAATCCCTAGCACATTGTAACCAGTTGCTGTTGTGTAGTGCTATGGAGTCGGTTCTGACTCTATGGTGACCCTGTAGGTAGGGTTTTTGAGGCTTTAACATTTCACAGAGCAGAAAGTCTCATCTTTCTCCTATGGTCACACACAGCAGACACTCCAATAAAGATGGTCTCAATTCAAAATGAGGATTTAAAAACAGAGCACTCTGTTCTCTCTCCTGGTCAACTCAAAAAGCCTCTCACTGCCCTTGGATCAATTCCAACTCGGTGATAAAACAGAGGAGAATTGCTCCATAGAGTGTCTGAGACTAAGTCTCTATGGAAGCAGACTGCCCCATCTTTCTACCTCAGGGTGGCTGTAGGTTTGAACCTCTGACCTTGTGGTTAGCACCCCAATATTTAACCCACGACACCACTACGGTTCCTTCCTCTCATGGTAGCAACTGTTATTTTGTAGTTGGTACAAAGAACCAAAAGGAGCTCTGGTAGTGTAGTGGTTATGAATTGGGCTGCTAATCTTAAGGTCAGCAGTTCGAAACTACCAGCTGTTCTATGGGAGAAAGATGAGGCTTTCTGCTCCTGTAAAAGTTTACAGCCTCGGAAACCCTGTACAGGGTGGCTATAGGTCAGAACAAACTCCATGGCACATAACAACAAAGAACACACTCTCCCATTCTTTCAGTCCCAAGACTTAGCACCTTGTCCTACCTGACCTGGGGTCTCAGCCACCAAGCAAGTGGTAACAAACAAGAGGAAGAAGCTTTATGATGCTGCAGGTAGACTGGTGGGTCAGACCAGGTCCCTGAGACTCAGGTATGTCCTGGAGCTGATGAAGTATCATTTCCAAGGCCTGCACTCACCAAGATTATGGTGGAATTTAGGATTTGCCACTTTATCCTAAATCTTAAGGTCATGTACAGAGGCCATGGGGAGGACCAGTCCAATCTTGGAATCTTCACCATGCCTCACCCACCAGAAGCATCCAGAGAAGGCTACCTGGACCCCAGTTCCCTCCACTTCTCAAGCTCTGGATCCACCATTAGATGCCCTGAGATGAGGGAGGCTACTGCTCTGACTGCCAACACCATCCCTGGGTCCTATTATTTCCTAAACTCAGGGTTTGGTCCTCTGGATTCTAGGTCCTGGTGTCTGAGCAGGATCTAGAACATTGTACAAGAGACTCAGGGCCAGCCCTGGCTGCAGAGATGGGCTGAAACCCGGTTCCAGGCCCATGGAGTCAGCGAGGATTAGACTCCCTACCTCTTACTCAACTCAGCAGTCTGCACCTGCTCCAGCAGATCCCCTAACATCCCTCACTGCGGTCAACTCAGCCGTTATAGCATGAAATGCAACAATTACCTGGGTCTGACTTGCCTGTTTTCTTCCATCTGTCCCACCCCACCATCTGCTGCCTCTGTTACCTTTTCCTTTGCCCATCCCTTAAATACGGAAACTCCTAATGGTTGGCCCTGGGACTCTTCCTCGAGGCTGCCTCATCTACCCTGGTGCCTAGCTACCTCTGTTCCCCATCTCTGCTGACAAAGCCTTTATTTCCATTCCCAGTCTCAGAGACTGGGGGGCTTGTCATCTCCTGGACACCATCCTGTGGACATCTTCTGCCCCCTCCCCACACTGGGTCCCACACTGACCTCAACATCTTTCCCCAGATCAGCCCCTCTTCCCTGGTCCTGTAACAAGGTCCCCAACCCCCTCTCCTGGCCAAAGCCTGTGTCTCACCCTGGATAACAAGGTCCTTCAAACTACATACAGCCCAGTCCCTTGATGTCTTAAGCGTCATTCCCAGCCACTTCCTCCTTTTCCTCAGCCCTGCCGGTGAGTCCAGATTTGGTTTCTTCCAGCTTCAGTCTCCTGCTCTGGTCTACCCTCCTCAGGGTGGCTAGATGGATCTTCCGAAAGCCCAAATCTGTCCCTCCCATGTGTACAATCCTCCATGGTTCCCCAATACCATCAGGACAAAGTCTAAGCTCCTCAACCAGGAAGTCCAGGCCCCTGTGTGCCCCACAGCACTCCCTAGTGCCTGGGACATATTAAACCCTTGCTTCTGCTGTACCATCTGCCTGGACTAGCTGTCCCTTGGCTCTACACCCAATTATCTTCTCCAGATGTCATTCTCAGATCACAAGTCTTCTCCTCCAGGAAGCCCTCCCTGACTACACTCTAGACTGAGTCAGGCACCTCCTCTGGACTCCCACAATCCTCTAGGCCTCCCTCACCACAGCATTGATGGTGCTGAGCACATATCTGCCTCCTCACTGGACTACAGGCCCCCTGAGGGCAAGGCCCGAGGCAGCCTTCACACAGGGCAGGTCCAGAAGTAGGCGTTCAAGGACTGGATGGATGACCATCCGCAGCCTTCCCAGTGACGTCAGACAGAACTGTAGGGGAGGAAGTCTCACCCCAGAGGACTCATTCCCTCAGATGTAGACCCCTGCGCGAGCCCTCCAACCCACAGAGACGGAGACAAGGGCAAGGGCCCAAACCCAAGCTTAGAAAAATAGGACTTTCGTGTTGTGCCCGGTCCCCTCGACACCCTCCCCATCAGAGTTTTAAAAACCATGAGCAATTTGGTGAGTCTGTGGCCAGGCCCCGTGGTGTACCGGGGTTCCGGCACTCCTGGGGCCTAAGGGGCCGTGGAGATGGGTGTGCGGCTAGGGCCCCACAGGTTCGTGGCTGGGTCCCCAAGGCTCGCAGTCTAGCTGGACCACGGTGTGAGGCCTGGACACAGAGGACTCAGAGGCTGGCAGAGCTGGCGTGGGTCCTAGGGTGCCGTTGGTCTGAGAGCAAACGCTGCTGACTGGTGCTGGCCCCTTGGCCTTGCCGGGCGGCTGGCCTCCGTGCACCTTGTAGCGCATAAGTAACACGAAGATGAAGACCAGTACCGAGGCCACGATGACGCCGCCCAGCGCAATGATCATCGTGCCGCCCAGGAAGGGTGCATGCGGAGCTCCGCATGGCCGCAGTGCTGGCTCTGTGGAGAAGTGGGCACAGCCCACTGGCCGCGTAGCTGTCAGCCCAGTGGCTCCATCCTCGTATACCGCCAGCACACACAGATCGTAAGCACGGCCTGATGCCAGGTCTGTCAACAGGAACGAGCGGCTGTCAGCTGGGATCATCCTAGAGGGACAGGTAGGCAGGGGTCAGGTCTCTGGCTGCCCAGCACCCACCCTATGCTCCCTCCTCCCAGTCCACCACTTCATTTCACTCTAGCCACCACCCTAATTCCCGCTGGTCTGATACCCCTTCAATCCACTGTCTCAGTTGCCTTTAGCCAAGTGACTGATAACCTCTCTAGCCTGTTACTACTTTCATTCTAACCGCCAGCTCTTTGCTCTCTTTCCAGCCACCCAAGTACCCCCGTTTGACTTCACATGCTAGCCTGCTGTCCAGAGCTCGCTCCAAGCCCACTGCCCCAACCCCGTCTGCTCTGCTGCCCACTTTGGCCTCATAGCCCTGCTCCTGGTAGCTTGCCACTTGAAGTTCCTCCAGTCCTGTCTCCTACCCCACGGCCTTCTTTTCCTCCTGTGCAGCCTCTCAATTCCTCTGCAGCTGCAGTCCGACCTCCCTCTTGCTCCACTACCTACGTTTGCTCCAACCAATCCAAGACTTCCTTCTGGCTCCACCACCCAATTCTCCTCTAGCTAACTGCCCAAATTCCTCTTCGATCACCCAATTCCCTTCAAGTCCACCACCCAAGTTCTCTGTAGCTCTGCTGCCAAGCATGTCTCCAGTTCACTGCTCACTTCTAGTCTCACCTGGTCAAACTTCTCTTGACCCTAATGTCCCACTTCCTCTTCATTCCTGTTCCATTTCCCACCTGCCCATCTTCCTCGGGACCTTCTTCCAATTTCCCTCTGCCTCCTGTCTGACTTCCCTCCATCCTGTACTCAATTTCCCTTTTCTAGCGGCCTGCTTTTCCTCAGCTAGAACTGCCTCTAATCTAACAGCCTGATTCTCCTATACCCAAATTCATTCTAACCTGCCAATAAAGTTCCCTCTAGCCCCATTGCCTTATGGTTATGTCTACAGCCCGTTTTCCAGCGAGCCCTGTCACCTGATTCCCTTTTCATTAAATTGATAGTTGCCTCAGCCATCATGGTTGATTTCTTTTCCTCCCTGTTGCCCGATTTCTTCCCAACTCTATCATCTGATTTCTCTTTCTGCTAACGGGTTTCTACTTACCCTTATCCATCCCATATCCTTTTATCCTTACCACCCATTTCTACATTTTCTTTTTGAAGCAGCAGGGCATTCTGCTGGAGATTTCACTCCGATTTTTTTCTTCTTCCTAGTTTCCGGGTTTATATCTCGGCTGCTTTAATGAGAAAGGTATGGGGAAGAGGGGACCCTGTGATTGTCTGTAGGAGAGTGGATGTCTAGGAGAGCCCTCGTCCTATCCCTTGCTGGGAAGGTAGACAGACTTGTGTGCTGCTCAGATGTGGTCCCTTCATGGGAGCCACTGAATACCGTAGTCTGAGAAAGGGAGAGGAATGAGCTCATTGGGTTTCTAGGACTGAAAAGGAAGTGACTATCTCTTGAGCTGTGGGCCCTGGGAGGGAAAAGGGATCCAAGGAGTAGGTTTGAAAGGTGCTGACCACAGCCCTTTAAAATCCAGCACCCTTGGCCCAGCCTGGCAGCGAGGACAGGAAGTCGCCCTCCACAGCCGTCTATGCAAAGTCCGACCTTAGTCAAAAGAGCCAGCAGCACCCGGGTCAGCAGCCACCACGACTGGCCACATGTGGTCACGGCAGATGTGTTAAATGCCCTGCAGTTGGGGAGCAGGAGTTGTAGTGACCCACCTCAGTGTGTGTAAGGTCCAGGCTGTGAGTTTGCAACCGTGGAGGGGAGAAGGCCGTCTCCAAGACTTACTACCTGAATATTTCTGCTCACCTGGAAGGTGGGCATTGGAACTCGGTTTGATTTGCTTTGATTTAGCTATCACTATATTAGCATTCCAAACTTGTGGCACACAAGCCGGAAGTCTAATGTCTAATTAACATCACTCTTCCTCACCCCTCCCCAACTTTCTCTGTAAGAGGGCTGCCTCATTCTCACGTCATCTCCCCTGTGACCCTCCTCCATTCCTACTTTCAGCACCTTTTCTTCCTGCAGCCTGGATCCTCTCTAGTCATGTTCTTGCTATTAAGTGCCGTCAAGTCGGTTTCACCTCACAGCAACCCTGTATAGGGTTTCCAAGGAGTGGCTGGTGGATTTGAACCACTGACCTTGTGGTTAGCAGTCCAGTGCTTATCCTACAGAGCCACACCAGGACTTCATCTCTAGCCCTATCATCTGAGAAATGTGGTTTTACTTCTATCTCGGCTACTTACATTTGGTTTTGTCCCGCTGTGGATTGATTTCTTTTTCCTCTTGTTTGATTCCTGCTACACCTCTGCCGCTTCATGTCCCTATTATTTCTGTCACCATTCACTACTGCTGCCTGATTTCTCTTTACCTATGCAGCCAGATTTCTTTGATCTTTATTATTTGATATACCTCTCTCTCTCTTTTTTGTTTTCGGTTTGAGTTTTAGGGCCTGGTTTCTTTTCAAATTTGCTGCCTAATGTCTTTTGTTGCCTGATTTTATTTATTTATTTTTAACCACTTGCTGCCAGCTGTCTTCAGGCTCGTCTGCCCAATGGGTGTTACCCTGGCATTGTAAACCTGGCAGCTGGGGCATCAGAAGGTTATCCTGCCACCCTCCTCCTCTGTCCCCGACCCCCCCACCCCCACCCCCCGCATAGCTCCCAGCCACCACGCCACCTAGGCTCTGCACCTGTAGACGAGGATGTCATCGGCTGAGCTGTTATACTGGACCTGGTACATGCGGATGCCTGGGATAGGTCGCTGGTCCGGCCACTGGATGAGGGCAGCTGTGGCTCCATGCTCTGTCACTTGAACGCCATGGTTGGCGGGGGTGCCCGTGTCAGCTGCCTTGGCTGAGGCTGACGCTGAGGCGGCAGAGGGCGGGGTGAGGGCATCAGGATCCCCGTCCCGCGGGGGGTCACAGCTGGTGCTGTTGGCCAGCTGGGGAGGTGGTGGGGGACCCACAGTCAGCTCAACTGCCGCCGTGGCCTCACCAGCTGCGTTTGCTGCAATACATGTGAAGATGCCGCCATCGCCCGCCTCCGTGACCAGAAGCTCCAGTGTACCATTAGGGAAGGCCCGGGCACGGCTTGAATTGCTCAGAAGTCGGCCCTGAGGTGACACCCAACGCACACGGGGCTCTGGGTCTCCCACTGCCCGGCAGCGCAGGGTGGCCGGCCGACCTGCAGGCACCACGAGGGGCGGTGAGCGATGCGTCACCACAGGTGGTTCACACACGAACTCCTCCTCTCCCACAGCCCAGAAGTAGCGGCCCCCCAGCGCGGGTGGGGAGGCACACGCCTCCAGGTCATCCTCCCTGGCCAGCCGTCGCAGCCATACCAGCTCACAGTTGCAATGCAGAGGGTTCCCGCCGAAGGCCAGCACCAAGGCGGAAGCAGGAGAGCCCCGGGGCCGGGCGAGCAGTGGGAGGCGGGAGAAGAGTGGGTCCGGTGGGATGGTGGTCAGGCGGTTGGAGGTCATGTCCAGCCGGGCCAGCTTGTGCAGGCGGGAGAAGGCGCCGGCAGGTACGGAGGCCAGCAGGTTGTGATCCAGGCCCAGTGTATTGACGTTGCCCAGACGGCCCAAAGCCTCCCAGGGCAACTGCTCGAGGTTGTTGTAGGACAGGTCGAGGTCCTCAAGTGTCTCAGCACAGTCATCTAGGGCGCCGGCTGCCAGCGCGGCCAGCTGGTTGTTGCTCAGGATGAGGTGGCGCAAGTTGACCAGGCCACGCAGCTGACTCTCACCCAGTGAGGTCAGCCGGTTGCCATCGAGGTGCAAGGCGCGCAGGGCTCGAAGGTCAGCGAAGGCGCCAGCTGCCACGTGGCGGATGGTGTTCCGTGACAGGCTCAGGTGCAGCAGGCCTGTCATGTTGGCCAGGTCCCGGCGGCGCACGGCTGCGATGAAATTGTCTGCCAGGCGTAGCTCAGCTGCCCGGCGGTCCAGTGAGGGTGGCACAAACAGGAGGCCAGCCCCTGGGCACAACACACTTAGAGGCAGTGACTGTGTCTGGCAGCGGCAGCGTCGGGGACATGGGCTGGGTGTGGTCAGCTGGGGCGGAGATGAAGCAGGAGCCAGTGGCAGCAGGCAAAGGAGCAGCGGGAAGACGGCCATCGCGGGCAGGAGCGGCCTGCAGGGAAGGAAGAGGTATTAGGAGAGGCACCTGAGGGGAGAGACGATCACAGGGACCGAGGCTGGGGGAGGGGGGAGGGCGGTCAAAGACAGTCAGGGACAGAGATGGTCAGACATGATCAAAACCCAGTGAAGATGGCCAAGGACTTAAGACAGATGCGTGATGGGTGGACAGAGGGCAGGAGAAATGGACAAAGATGGTCATACAGATGAGAGGCGATTAGAGATGATCAAAGATGACCGGAGAATTGGGAGAGTTGGTCAGGGTGGGTCCAAGGTAAAACAGAGGGCTTTAGAGGTGGTCACAGAGAAAGAGTCCAAGATGGCCACAAAAAGAAGAGGTGGTTGGGGTGGAAGGAATGATTACATGTGGTCAAACATGACCAGACAGGAAAGGTGTTAAGATGAGAGGTGGGCAAAGAGAGGAGAGGTGGTCAAAGGTGGTCACATCTGGGAGAGAAGGTCAAAAATGGTCAGAGAGAGAAGTGGTAGAAATTGTCAAAAGCCAGAAGAGGTGGTCAGAGAGATGGGGGGAAGGACAGATACGTTAGCTAGAGACCAAGACAACTGCTTCTAGTGATAGGTGTCAGTAGAGGGTGTCAGAAAAAAATATCAAGAGGGATAGAGAAGAGAGGTGGGTGGGTCAGTCAAAGCCAGAGAGGATCCGATTATTTTAGACTGTGAGTTATGGTCAGGTGTGGGAGGAGGTTAGTGGACATGGTGAAAGTAGTCAGAGAGAAGAGGGCTGAGCAGATGAAGTCACAGAGAGAGGAGGCTGGTGGAGAGAGGATGATCATGAGTGGGCAGAGAACATGACAGGTGAAAGATAATACACTAGTAGACAGAGATGTCAGTGATGGTCATTAAGAGAAGTGGTTAACAGGTGGCTGGAGAGAAGGGCTGTGGACAAGGATGTCAGAGATGACCAGAGAAAGGAGAGTTAGTCAGAGATGCTCACTGAGGGAAGTGGTGTGGATGGACGTGTCAAAGGTGATCAGAGACAGGAGAGGTGACTGGAGATGGCAGGCAGGAGCCTGGAGACAGAAGCTGTCAGTGGGCAGGAGAGGTGGCTGGGGATGGTCGGAAGCAGTTAGACAACAGGGGGAAGAGGGTATCAGTGACCTGTGGACACCAGCAACTGGAAGAAAGGAGGTTGGAGAGGGCCTGGACTAGTTGTGTTCCAGACAGTGCGTTTGGGGCAGGAGCTGGAGGCAGGCCTGTGGAGGGTGTGTTTCCTGGGGACACCTGACCTCACTTTATCTCCCCCTCCTCTCCAGTCACACATCTCCTCCCAAACCCTTCCCCACCATGGGGGTCTCCCAGGAACCTTACCTGAGCTGGAAGCCGCGCCAGAAAGCAGAGTGGTCAGCCTCTCAGGGGGTCAGAAGTCCAAGCACTGAAGGTGAGGTCTGCTCATGACTTCCCTGTCCTCAGGACCTCTGTGTCTCAGCCACAGACACTAAGGTTCAATTTTAGGAACCCAGTCCCAGGCTGGGTTGTTGGGGTCAGGTTTTCCCAACTCCAGACTTAGATGGGAAACAGCCAAATGGGAAATTTAGGGTCTGAGTCCCAAGCTCAAGAGTCCTGGGAGCCAATACTGAGCTTCTGGGTTCAGCTACTGGGGTGCTGAGTCAATATTTAGAGGTTTCTAACCTCAGCATTCAGGTGTTCAGCAAAGACTTCAGGTCCAAACTCAGGTTTAGTCCCCTTGGAGTCCAATGGGTCAGATCTTGGAATCTGAGGCCTAAATCTCAGGGTTCTGGCACCAAATAGTGGGGTACCAGGATAAAGATATGGGAATCTGGTCCTAGATTTCAAGGTCCCAGGCACAGAATTCAGAGTTCAGTTGAAAGACCTGGGATTTTAGATAACAAAATCTCGAGGTTTAGGCTCCAAATACTGGGGTTCTGCTTCCAAATATTGGGATTCAGATTCCAAATCTTAGAGCTCCAGGGAACAGATTTTGGAATTTCAGCCCCAGATACTGGAGTTAAGGCTCCAGGTCTTGGGGTCCCACGGCTGGATCTCTGAGTGCTGGTCCCAGATCAGGGTCCCACGTCCGGGTTTCCTGATCTCTGGATCCAATCCTGGGGTTCAGGCCCTCGATGTTGGGGTGCAGGTTCCGGGTCTGGGGCGGTGGCTTTCCGGCCCGTTTCCCAGGCTGCGGCGGGGGGCGGCTGGGAGAGGGGGGGGGTCAGCTGCGGTAGAAGGGGAGGCGGCCAGGCAGCACCGGGGCCAGGGCCGGGGTGGGGCGAGGCCTGGGCGCGCACGGACAGACAGACAGGGACATGCGGGGTGGGGTACCGCAACGTAGGCGGGGGCACAGGGGGGAGGGGCCGCGCTTAGAGACCCCTCCCCCGCCAGGGCCGGGCCGGGGGGCCGGGCGGGGGCCGGGCAGGCTGGCCGGGGCCGGGCGCTCCCGCGGCCTCCTCGCGGGGAACCCAGGGCCGCGCGCGCACCCGCGCTTAAAGGCGCAGACTCTGCGCGCACTTGCGCTTAAAGGCGTAGGCAGTCTTCTTTATCCACGCCCCCCAAAGGCGTGTCCCTGGTCCCAACGCCCTGGAGTTGCCCTGGTATTGCTGGGAGCGAGAATCTCTGGACACAGAGAAAGAGAGAGAGACACAGAGACTGAGACACACAGAGATAAGAGAGACAGGAAGAACACAGAGAGGTGGGCCGACTTAGATTGAGGTTCAGAAAGGATTGGAATGAGAGGGGCAGAAAGACCGACGCCGCAGAAGAAGACATGCTCATATATTCAAGGGAGAGACGGAAACACCCAGATAGAAAATACAAGGACTAGTCAGAAACAGAGACAGAGATCCACTGACAACACATACACACCCCCCTTCCGGTGCAGCCCCCGGAGCAACTGTAAGAACTGGTGGTGCTGTGGGTTAGGTGTTGGGTTGTTCATTGAAAAATAAGAGGTTTAAACCCACCAACTGCTTGCAGTGAGGCAGACGAAGCTGCCTGCTTATGTCAAGATCCACAGTTTTGGGAACCCCATTCAGGATCGCTACAATTCGGTGGCAGTGGTTTTTGGTTTGGGTTTGGAGCGACATGGGAATGTGTTCAGTTCACTTACAGCCTTGGATGTGGCCCTCTATCCAAGTCCCTTCATCCCAGAGCCACCACCACCAGCCTGTCTCCTTCAGTCTCTCTGTCACATCACCACCTCCTTGGGGTGTCCTTCCTGCTGGCTCTGCCCAGCCGCAGGCCTGATCCTTCACGTCAGTGGGGAAACTACTCTTTCCTTAACTTCCCTGTCCTGACTACAAGGTGGAAATGTGGTTGCACGACCCTCTGTCTGCCAGAATCAGGCCGAGACCTCAAGACACACTGACAGCAGGGAGGAAGGAGAAGGCAGGAGATGGGACAGCGGTGGGGCCCAGCCAGGAGACCCCCGAGAGCTGTGTTTTCCACTCAGGTCCACTGCGCCACAGGGGACCCTGCTAGAACTGTGCAATACATGATTCACCATGAGTGGCGTCTGCCTACTCTGATGCTTGTGAGACATGGGGAGGCCCGCACGTCTTCAGGCAGATGGCGTGGCTGGAAGTGGGGTATGGGTGGTGGTCTGCAAGACTGGCCTGGGAACTTGGTTCTGGCAATGTGGAGGGCCTGATCTTTTGGGAGTCTGGACTGAATGGAGCACAGCCTTACCCTGGGTAATCGACAGGGGGATGCAGCCCTGTCCTGGGGGACCTCGGGGGTCATGGCAACCACCTTCAGGATCTCCTAGGTAACCTAGTAGGGGGCAGGGAACATGGATGTATATCCAGTCCAGCATCCCTAGCTCCACTGGAAGTTTCAGAACAGACTTTTGGCTCCTTTTACTTACTCTTATTGAAAAATTGCAGCTAAAATTAACTTGGCGTTCCAGATCATTAGCAAAGTTCATCTGTGCTCCTGGCCCAGTACAGCAGACACTGGACACTCAGACCCTCAGGAGGCTTCAGACACACCCTGGAGGTGGCAGAGACAGAGGGACAGACGTGGAGATGCCCCCAAGGTCAGGACTGGGATTAGGATTTGGTGGAATTAGGAATTTGGGGGTTGATTTTAAGATTGGGGGGCAGGAGGAAGAGTGAGGCAGAAAAAAAATCGAGGATTCATTAATGAGCAGGTTACTGCTATGGGCAACCGGGGCTCAACACTGCTGGGGGAGTTGTAAGGAACCTTCTGGAACACACATCAGAGTTGTCCTCTCTCCTCCATCAAGTTTAGAGGCTGGGGCATCTATCCATCAATTATTACCCCGCCTTTGGGACCTCTCCATGTTTCTGTGGGGTAGGGGGTGGAAAGCAAAGGAAGTGTTGAAGGTAATCTAGGGTCTGAGACAGAGAAGCAGGGAGAGACGCCTTGCATGGACTAAGCTGGTGATGCTCACACTTCAGCCGCATCAGCCTCACCTGGAGGGCTCGCTCAAATGACTCTGAGAGTTTTAGATGCAGTAGGTCTGAACTGGGGCCCAAACACTTTTCTTTCCAACAACTTCCCAGGTGATGCAGCTGCTGGTGGTCCGGGAACCATACTTAGAGAGGCACCAGGAGAAACCAGGAGCATCTGCAAGGTGCATGGCACTGTCCACTGCTAAATTAAACTCTGGGGGACCCAGGGGAGGACAAGCATGTGCCAAAGACTCTAAGGCATTTAGAGACATAAGGAGGGATTGAGAAACAGACAGAGACAGAGGCTAAGATGCTGTTATTTGTCCAGCATTGACTGGATTTCTGGGTATGGCTGTAAGCTACATGACACTGCAGTAAAATCAGTGTCCAGACAGTCCCAACGAGCTCTGGTGGTGCAGTGAGTTAAGCAGTGGGCTGTTAACTGAAAGGTCAGTGGTTCAAACCCATCAGCTGCTCTGCAGGAGAAAGATGAGGCTGTCTGCTACCATTGTTTTGTTTGTTTTGTTAAGTGCCGTTGAGTCGGTTCCGACCCATAGCGACCCTGTACAGGGTTTCCGAGGGTATAAATCTTTACAGG